ACTTAATCTGTTAACTTATCTAACAACAACTTGTAATTACTCTCCACTGACATAATTTGTTTGCATATGTAACAACATCCTGTTGTCACCCTTCTCTAGCTTAATCTGTCTATTTATCTAATAACAGTAAGTAGTTGCCCTCCATTGACTTAATCTGTTAACTTATCTAACAACAACTTGTAATTACTCTCCACTGACATAATTTGTTTGCATATGTAACAACATCCTGTTGTCACCCTTCTCTAGCTTAATCTGTCTATTTATCTAAAAAAGATCTCTATGTAACTAATATCTATGGTGTTTTAGTAGTATAAATAAATCTCTCTCTGTAGCTAATATCTAAAGGGTTTCAGTAGTATTAATAAAGCTCTTTCTGTAACTAATATTCATAGGGTTTATCAGTACAAGGAGAGTAATGTAATTTAATATACAGTAATGTTATTTTACATTTCTAAAAATGTATTACAATTTAATATTACTAAGATATTGGGAAGTAGAAGAAATAGTAAACTTAGCTTCAAGTTATTCTTAGTAAGTGATAAGTAAGTAAAATTATTAAACTTGACTCAGATACTAATTTGGTATGGAAGCTTTAAGTTGATTTTGAAACAAGCATACAACTAGAAAAGAGTTAAAATATTATAGTGTGTAAGTGAAGAAGATAAATGTAGCTGTCATATTCAAAATATGATGGACAAAGTCTGTGTTTTTTGTAATTAGAACTATAGTATGGAAATAACAAATGTAACATTTGATTTTTGTAAAATACACTGGAACATAGAAATATGTAGAAAGTATTATACTACTGTATAAGATCAATAAGTCTAGGTTTTTATTTAATCCTTTCACCTCTTTAAAACCAATAAACCTTAGGAAAAACAAGGTATCAGTGTAAATATAAATTTTTTTGAAACTTGTAACATTGTCCTTGAGTATCACACCTGTATACTGGTGCTCTTTCCCTAACTAGATGCACCATCACCTCCTGAAAACCTGAAAGTTGTACAAGTTGGAAAAACCTATGTGGACCTAAAGTGGGAGAAGCCAAGAACTGATGGAGGAACCAAAATCACAGGCAAACAGATATTCTGTGGCTACCTTGTTTACTTGTAAACATTAAAGAATAGATGTTAGGACTCAGATCATTAAAGTTTGTTATTTATCACACAGGATTTTGTTAGGAAATTATAAAACATTAAATTTAAAAAGAAAAGTACTATATTAATAAAGGAAGTGGGAACGAGTTTGAATTTCTATTGAGGTGTGCAATACCTAATTGACCATAGTACCTGAGTTAAAACTTTTTTTTTCATAATGACAGAATTAAATTGTAAATGCTCTAGCACAAAACATATTGTGCAATACTCACAGCTAGTTGTCCATAGTACCTGAGTTAAAATTATTTTATTTCATTCTGACAGGCTACATTGTAGAGATACGTGAGAAAAACAGCCCCTTATGGTTCAAAGCCAATGATTACAATGTTCTAGACTGTGATTTCTCTGTAACAAACCTCACTGAAAGTAGTGAGTATGAATTCCGAGTGTTTGCTGTAAATGCTGCCGGAAAAAGTGATCCTGTTATGACACATGGGCCTGTAAAGGTTCAGGAAGTTCCAGGTGATATATTTCTTCCTTTGTTCTACTTTAACACTTATGAAGAGGTAAAAAAAATTCTAACTAGACCTGCAGTATTAGTGAAAAACAAATTAGACATTCAAAATCTGTTAATTTCATTTTTCATAAGCTAACATTGAACTTTAATTTTGTATGTAATGAAATAAAAAGGAAATGTGCATCATTGTTAGTATTATTTCATAATTATGAAATTGGCTGTTTATTAAACATAACATTATGTATTGTTGCTCAGACATACTCCTAAGAATTTTATTTTTGATTATTTTTATGATGCTGGTACATATTTCTTTATATAAATATTAGCATTCTAAAATTTTTCTCCTCAACCTGTTGAAACGTTAAAAAGTTTAAAATGTATTTTTAAAGTAAGGTTACACATGAGACATTTCAGTTAATCTATGTGTATTATGTATTATAAACTGCAATTTTTAAGTGTTATTTTCTGTTGTAGATGGTATGAAGCCAGAGTTTTTGAGGACACTATTTAACAAGAACACTAACCTCAAGAAGTCTGTGACCTTGGAATGTGAAGCCATTGGCAAACCTCACCCTGTAGCTCGATGGTGAGTAAATTTACTTCTTGTGTATTTGTTTGATACTGCTCATTTTGTGTTTGTTTATAGAATGTATAAGAAAGATGACTATATGTGTTTTTATCAATATACATAAGTATAAGTTAGCTTTCCTAAGTTTTCTATGGCAACAGAAAGTTTAAGGGTGTAATCTCATTATTAATATTATGATATATTTTCTAATGGTAACTAATTTTAAAAATATTTTATGTGGTTAATAAACTTATAATAATTTTTTGTTAATGCTTAAAGGTTCTGGAATCGTTATTTATGGTCCTCTGTTTTTGAAGCTTCTGATCATTGCCCTTTTTTGTAGTTTAATCTGACTTAAAGCTGTTGTTTTCTTAATGAACACTAGGTTTAGAAATGGACGGGAAGTTCATCCAGGTGTACGAATCAAAGCTATAGATAATAAAGATGGAATCTATAAACTACAAATCACAGAAACATGGGACTCAGATGATGGAGAGTACACCTGTGAAATCAGCAACTCCTTAGGCTCAGACAGATGTACTGCTAAACTAAATGTTGCAGGTAAAGATGGATACAGGAACATGTTTGACTCTTTTAGTTCATTAAGCTCAGACAGTTGAACTACCAAACCAACCATTGAAGATAAAGATAGATACAATAAGATGATAACTGTCTAACACTTTAGGGTCTGTTAGGAGTACTGACAAACCAAACATTTACAATAAAAATAGATACAATAAGATGTTAAACTGTCTAACACTTTAGGCTCAGACAGAAGTACTGATAAACCAAATATTTACAGTAAAGATAGATACAATAAAATGTTCACCTTTCTAACACCATAGACTCATACAGGTGAACTGCCAAACCAAACATTTACAGTAAAGATAAATACAACAAAATGTTCAAACTTCTAACACTTTAAAATCAGACAGGTTTACTGGCAAACCAAACATTTGTGTTAAAGATGGATACAATAAAATGTTCAACTTTCTAACACCTTAGATTCATACAGGTGAACTGCCAAACAAAATATTTACAGTAAAGATAGATACAACAAAATGTTCAAGTTTCTAACACTTTAGGATCAGACAGGTTTACTGGCAAACCAAACATTTGTGTTAAAGATGGATAGAATAAAATGTTCAACTTTCTAATACCTTAGACTGATACAGGTGAACTGCCAAACCAAACATTTACAGTAAAGATAGATACAACAAAATGTTCAAGTTTTTAACACTTTAGAATCAGACAGGTTTACTGGCAAACCAAAAATTTGTGTTAAAGATGGATACAATAAAATGTTCAACTTTCTAACACCTTAGACTCTTACAGGTGAACTGCCAAACCAAACATTTACAGTAAAGATAGATACAACAAAATGTTCAAGTTTCTAACACTTTAGGATCAGACAGGTTTCCTCCCCATGGTTGGAGGTTCAGAATTAAAGACTGCATCAACCAGTAGCAACTATTTCTACATAATTATTATTAGTTATTGTGTATCATTACTGCCAGACTAAGCATTGCAGATAAATAAAGTTCAGTATTTTATTTATTATGTTTATGTAACTTCTTAAGTTTAAATAAATGATAGCACATTACAAATAATTAGTACCTTGATTTACACCATAAGGCTCTTATTAGTAAGATTCAAGCAGAAAAAAAAATTGTTTCAGTATAGTGAAATATTGAATAGGTTCAGATTCCTTCAACTGAACTAGTGTACTGTGTAGTACAACGTTGGATGTACAGGACTTTAAATATTTTCTTAATTTACTCTCCTGCTTTGTACAAATAACATATTATATTATATATTATTTGGATTTTACTGGAACAAAATAAATTTTCTGATGGTAAGTATGTTATAAAATATGTTAATTGGTTATTCAACTCAACATAACATAAAGTATAAGGACAAGTCCATTCTGTCCACATAAAATCAATTTTTTAAAGAGTGGGGATTTTAATGACAATTTTTGTAAGTTTGATTCTTCTTGCCCTGCCCTGCACTCTGATAAATATCATTTTATTTCCATACCAGTGGTGTGCATAATAATTTCTTTCCTTCTTTTACAGCTCCTCCTAAGATTGAAAGATGTCCAAATGAAGTGTGCATACCTGAAAATGATAATGGGAAGGTTAAAATATTCTTTTCCGGTACTGGACCATTTGAGGTGAATTTGTTCAAGCATGGACTGGAAGTCAGCGAGAGCAAACACATGAAGATAACTGTGTTCGATGATTATGTTATTATCTTCCTGCGAGAAGCTTTGAAAGATGATGAAGGCAAGTACAAGTTGACTGTGAAAAATGACAGTGGAGTGGCTGATGCAAGTTTCACTCTCTTTGTAACAGGTGAGACTCTTGTCATTTTCATAATGATATATGAAAATCTATCAGGTGCAATGTGGCAGAAGAACAAGTTTGGTATTTAAAGATATTTCTAATCAGTTTGTGTAAACTTCTTTCAAGATTTGCTGAGTGTCACAAAATTGTAGCTAGTAAACTGAATATTGAATTTGTGTTGGTTAGTATTAATCTACTTTTGGACTACATTGAACATAAGGATATTTTATTGTTTTAGTAATTACTTGTATCTGCCAGAACAACTGATGTGAACAATTTATATTATTTTTATGATCTGTCACTGTTCAAGTTATAATTTTAAAATCAGAAATAAAACACAGTCTCAGAAATAGTGTTTTTGAAATTCTGTATCAAAGGTCGTCCAGGGCCACCAGAAGGACCACTAGAGGTCTCTGACATTGCTCAGCATTCAGCATCTCTTTCATGGCGACCACCAACTCATGATGGTGGCTCAAAAGTCACACACTATGTTGTAGAGAGAAAAGAAACCAGTCATAGCCAGTGGGTGATAGCTATGAGCTATTGTCGGGTAAGTAAAGTAATTATGTTAGTGATTGACAGCAAAAAATTCTTCTCAAGTAGGGAAAGAGCTTAACCAGATCAGATTTTGTCAGAAAATGAAAAGATGTGTCAGTTTTGGAAGAAAATGACTATTGTTGAATAACAAAAGAAAACAGTCATTGTTAATAGACAGTAATTAAATATTATTGTTAGTTAATAAAAAACAGACAAAGTCAATGCAGGGTAAATACAAGCTGTTGTTAGATAAGTAAACAAATTTAACTAATGAAGGGTAACAATAAACTGTTGTTATATAAGTAAGCAGATTATGTCAGTTTAGGATAACTATAAGGTATTTTTATATGATTAAACAGATTAAGTCAGTGAAAGGTAAGTAAATAGATTAAGTCATTGAAGGATAATTACAAGCTATTGATTAATACTACTGAAATCCTTTAGATATTAGCTACAGAGAGAGCTTTATCTATACTACTAAAACACCATACATATTAGTTACATAGAGATCTTTATTTATACTACTGAAACCTGCAGATATTAGTTACAGAGAGATGTTTATTTATACTACTAAAACACCATAGATATTAGTTACAGAAAGATCTTTATTAATACTACTGAAACCTGCAGGTATTAGTTACAGAGAGAGCTTTATTAATACTACTGAAATCCTTTAGATATTAGCTACAGAGAGATCTTTATTTATACTACTAAAACACCATAGATATTAGTTACAGAAAGATCTTTATTAATACTACTGAAACCTGCAGGTATTAGCTACAGAGAGATCTTTATTAATACTACTAAAACACCATACATATTAGTTACATAGAGATCTTTATTTATACTACTGAAACCTGCAGGTATTAGTTACAGAGAGAGCTTTATTAATACTACTGAAACCTGCAGGTATTAGTTACAGAGAGAGGT